TCGTGCCTGAAAAATGGGTTCAGGGCGTGACCCCAGCTGCAGTACGGACGAGGCCCCTAAAGGTACCGCTGAATCACACGGGCCGCATCAGTCCCCCAAAGCAAACGCCCGTAAGGGTAGAGCTGCCTTGGCATCATCCCGATGGTGCGCTCTCTGTCCAAACGTCAGACTGTGGAGCCTGCATACTGCCTGTTCTCTTGGTTGGTTCTCTCCCCTGCTGGAAAGGGCAGCAACTTCCCACCACGGTATCCCATGTCTCCAAACCCTCTGCCCTGGGCATCTCCTCCCAAGCACCCATTATTACCACAGGAATAAAATTCAGGAGAGGGAATTGCTGCTTTCGGACACTGAAGCAATGTGTGCCGAGACTTTCCATTAAATTGGGCAAACAGAGGCGTGTACTAAGTTTGTTCATGTGACTCGAGGCAAGTTGCTGTAGTGAAACTTGATTATTTTTTAAGTGATTAAAAAAAGCAAGAAGAATAGTAATCTAGTAGACAGCTCAGTAAAACAATGGTTAATAACTGCGGTGCTAGCGGTTTCAAGGGCAGCCTTGACACCCCGGGCTCTCCGAGGAGCTGATCAGTTCTCCAACTGCTGCTTACATGGATGCAACAGCGTCACCCAGCAGGCTCTGAGCACTGGGGACACTGTGTATCTCAGAGCAGCTGGTTAGCTAAATAAGGCTGTCAGCTGTCCCTGGAACCGACCAGCCCCCCAATGCCGAAGAGTGCGGGGATAGGACTGTCTGCAGCCTGCAGAGGTAGAGATCCAGGGATGCTGTTTTACCCTGGGAATAACTGAGACCCTCGGCTTTGTGTCCTTTTGTACAGAAAACGGAGTAGGCCTAAGTCAGGCCGATCAGGGGCCACCTGGATGCGCCTCTGCTCCTGGGACTGTAGTTGGGACGCGTGGGTGGGGTGAAGGGGTGGCTCAGGAGTAAGAGGAGGCCTATTCCGGGAGGGATAGTTGATGGCAACCTGTGTAGTTTGATAGCTTCTTTCTGAGATATCTTTTTAGTTTATTCAGACTTAGTTATTTGAAAATGAGCTTGTCTGTATGTAAGACGGTTCTTCCGTGGAAGGGGAGGGCAGTTACGGTTCTGCTTGGAGTCTGCCTGACTCCAGGGCCATTGAAACACCCACAGCCTCCCTTCTCAATTCATGATCAATTGTTTCTCCTAGATTCTGTCCTGGCAAAATATCTATTGTGATCTTCTCTGCAATGCTAAGTCCACGTCCTCCCTCACAGTAGGTTATTCATATGATGTTATCTACACTTTTGTGTACATACTGTTAAGGCTTATATCTAGATGTCCTCTCAAAGCCTCATACACTCATAGGTGGCTGTGGGGAGGGTGACTGAATCGTGGTTGTGCGATACCAGGTCAGACCAGACTAGGCCAGTGATGGGTTTTCAGCTGGGTGTGACGCTGAGAGGCGAAGCCTGGCAGGAAGAAGTGGGTCCCTGTGGGCGCAGTCTGGAATGCTTTGGATCCCTCCTCCTCCCTGGATGGCTGCTGCTTCCTGTCTGCTGCGCCATGAGCTCTTTCTCCTATGCCAAGCCTTTCTGCCCTGCCACGCTGCCTTGGAGCCAGCTTCGGACTAAAACCTCTACAAACTGAGCTATAGTAAACCTTCCCTCCATTGACTTGGGAGTGTCAGGTATTGTGTCCCACAAAGGAAACTAACTCAGATAGATGTAATTGTATCCTTATTGTATTTTGTCATTCAACAAATGTCCCTGGCCCCATGTTGGTGAGTGGTGGAGTGGCGAGAGAGGCAGCACTGTCTCATGTCCCTCCTGAGAGTTGCCTTAGGACCGTATGTGCCTAACTAGACAAGTTCTGTGCTGTGAGAGGCCCCATGCGTGTCTCTGCAGGATCCCACAGGAAACTAAAGTCCAAGATAAATCCATTGTAAGTTAGGTGGCACTTCTGTGTTTTTGTTTTATTTGGTGTATATCAGTCACCATACTGAAATGACCTGTTTGTGTTTTTCTGCTAAGTACTGACTCCATTATCCCACACAGTAGATGCTCAACAAATACCTGTTAAAAGAATGAATGGATGAGTGAATGAATAAATGTATAAATAAACCTCTCAAGGCCAGGAACTGTATCTCCCATCAGTGTCCTGCAAAATACCCACTATAGAGAGGTGTTCTGTAAATATCTATGAACTGAACTTCTGAATTAACTCTTGAGCTCGCCTCACACAATAGAGGTCCTTAGCGTTATTATTACACCCATATTTAGCCTATATTAGCCAGGAGCTGGTTACAGCTCATGAGTATTTTCTCTTCTTAGTCTTCTTAGTGTCTGATTTTTTTCCCTAGTAAAGATTATATTTTTAACACTTGTTAAAAAAGAACTTAATCCTTCTGTTCCATGGCCAGGCACCTTACACAGCAACCCAAATTACTCTACGCCTGGAATAGTCTGCTTTTGGGCTTCCGTGCTTTGGTTGTGCTGTTCCTTCTACTTCCTGTGTTCCTCCTCACGTTTTCTCCCTTGCATCCCAGAAGGTTCTCACTCATCCTTCATGGTCAAGATCCAATGTCACCTTCACCAAAACCCCTTGTTCAGCCCTACCTTCTTTCTTTCCCATAGTTCTCTGCTACTTTGTGGGTCCAACTACCTCTCCCGTGACACGTTGTTCATGCTGCTAAGGAAATATGTCAATAGATATTTCTTTCTATATGTATGTCTCCTCCTCCATCATATTAGTTCAAAGAATATGAAATTTGTCTGTGGTACGTTTATATGCCTGGATTAGCCTTCTACAAAGAGACAGAACTGACAAGATCTGTCATCTATCAATCTATCTACATACACACACACACACACACACACACACTTCCACACTCATGTGAAAGATTAGTTCCAGAATCCTTCATAGATACCAAATCTACACTTACTCAAGTTCCTTATATAAGATAATAGAGTATTTGCATATAACCTAGTCATATCCTCTCATGTAGTTTAAATCACCTCTAGATTATCTTAGCTAATACCCATGTAACTACTGTGTATGTAGTTACTATATGTGTTATACAGTAAATTGTAACGGGGAAAAAGTCATTGCATATTCAGTCTATAGGCGGTTTTTTACTGAGTGTTTCTTAATCTGAGGTTGGTTAAACCTATGGTTGCCAAAAGATATAGAGGGCCTACTACAGTTAAATAGAGATCGAGGCAGACACATGAGAAGTGACTTATTAGGGGAACTGGCTTGTGCAGTTATGAGGCTGAGGACCCTGAAGAGCCCCTCTGCCTGCCAGAGCTCCAGGGAAGCAGATAGTGTGGCTGTCCAAATCTGACACCCCCAGAACCAGGGAAGCCAGTAGTGTAACTATTGGTTTGATGGCTGAAGATCTGGGATCCAGGGGACCCCTGGTGCCAGCTCCAGCATGCAAAGGCCTTGGAAAATGCCCTATGAGAAGAAAGGTGTCCTAATTATAGGAGAGGGGGTTCACCTTTCCTCCACTTCTTTTCTATCTGGGACCCCATCTGCTAGGATGATTTCCACTCCGTCACATGCCAATCTCCTCTGGAATGCTTTATCAGTATTGAGGTACCCTTTAACCCAGGCACACTGACAGCTCATATTGACCATCACAATCTCCAAGGTTAATATGAGGCTTTGGAGACCTGAGTGTGTGTGTCTTGGTTACTTTTCTCTCATTGCTGCAACAAAATACCCGACATCCAAAATTAAGAAAGGAAAGGTTTATTTAGCTCACAGTTTGTGGAGGTTTCAGTCCGTAATCAGCTGGCTCCAAGGCAGGGTGGCATGGCACAGGGCCAAGCTGGCAGAAAACAGCAAAAGCAGCAAGAGCAAAAAGTGGGGGAGGGGAAGCAAGCCTCTTTTCCTTCCTTGTATTGTATATTGGCTGTCAGCTCACGCCCACACCTTCTCCATGCCCTCCTCTTCCACAAGCTGAGGATGTTTACAAGGCAAGGACCCTGGTCCCCTGCTGAGTCACTTAAACTTCTAAACTTCTCAAGTTGACACAATGAACAACATCCTGGAGCGGTAAGGGCATGTCCTTTTCACCCCAGGATGTAGAACTGTTGAGCTACTTAGTTAAGCTTCTAGGCTCCTCAAATTGACACACATATCAACCATAGCAGTATGTGAATCAATCAAGAGAAATCACAGGGTAGTCTGTAGTATACAGGGTCACTTCAGCCGCATTTGAGTTACAGCTCATGCTACTTATTATCTGTTAACCTCGGACACGTTACTTAACTTTCTGAGCTTTCGTTTTCAGTTTCATAAAGCAGAAACGATTAAAAAAGAAGAAATTAACTCCTCACATTGCCTTGTGAATTTAATGAGCTCATAGTCATACAGTTCCAGGTTACAGGGGTTATCAAAAGACTTAGCAAATGCTGGTTAGAGACTTACCTGAAGGGGTACCTTAACTGGAAGAAATGGAAATGATTTTGATTCAAGCTAGGTAAACACATCTGTGCCTAGACTGCAGCCCTTAATTTGCTTTCACTTCTGCATGTGTTACTGGTGCTTAACACTCACGGACCTCTCTTGTGTATCTTTCTCAGAGCCCAGTGTCTGGCTGTGTTATTTCTCAAACTAACCCAGCTGTGATAGAATAGGAGCCACAGTCATCCCATCAAGCTATGGAGCAACAAGGGCAGTGCTGTCTGGGCAAGAGCTGGGTTTGGACAGCCAGGTACCTGGGACATACTGACACGGAGTTGGAGAGACAGACTTGGGCTAAGGAAACAGAAGTAAGGTCCCCAGAACGTCCTAACTGGTGCTTCAATCAAGTGCAAATGTTGGTGGCAATCTAGTATGCTGTGAACTTCCTTCCATGTGTCCGGTAAGTAACAGGATACTTTGCCTCTGCCAGGAATATGCACAAGGTTTCTGTCTCTTGCTTCTCCTCCTGTTGTTGCTGCTGGGGCTACGTATGTGGAATCCATATTCATGTAACTTGAAAACACTGGCAAAAGGCAGCATCCAGGTCGGGGAGGCTGTAAAATTGCAGTAGGAGCATTTCTTTGAGAGTGTGTAGCATTTTGCTTCCTGGGAAGGGTCCTTCGTGTCCTGCCTAAGTCTCTCATTTGGGGGTAGATAGCACATGTATATTGAGTGTATACTATGCACCAAGACTCACTTTGTGAGTATATTTATTTTCTGCTTGTTATGGCTTGTACCTAAGTGTCCCCCCAAAGTCTCATGTGCTTGTGGGGGGAGCTTTTCAGAGATGGCTGGATCTAGGTTGTGTGATACTGGGGTTAAAGTTGCGTGGTACTAAATTAATCCACTGATCGGTTCAGATAATTCTGGGTATGGATCAGTGAGAAGACCCACTCTGGGTGTGGGTACTACCCAAAAGGCTTGTGGCTTGAATAGGATAAAAGGGAGAGGGAGGCTTGCTGCTTGCTGTCTTCTGCCTGTTGTGCTACAGACTGTTTCTCCTCTGTGATGCCCTCTGCCATGTGCCACCCTGCCTGGGAGCCAGATGTCTATGGATTAAAACCTCTACAATCTGTGAGCTAAAATAAGCCCTTCTTCTTCTGACTTGTGGGCGTTGGGTATTTTTGTCCCAGCACAAGAAAAGTAATTAAGACCCTGCTGTAACAAATTACCATAAATTCAGGGGCTTGAAACAGCGTGCATCTATTGCCCACAGGGCCGTATGTGAGAAATCCAGTGGGCTCAGTTGGTGTCTGTGCTTGAGTCTCACAAGCCTGAAATCGAGGCGTTTTCTAGGCTGCTATCGCTTTTGGAGAATCCAGGGAAGAATCCATTTCCAGGTCGTTCAAATGGTTGAGCTCAATATGTGGAAGGGTGAGGTCCCTGCCCCTCATTGGCTGCCATTTGAAGGTCTCCTTTACCATCGAGTGGCTTCTTTTGGGTCCCATGTGTAGTTTCTGAACATCTAGAACTTTGTAATAGCGCATTAAATTCTTAGAATGGCATATCTTCTCTGTTTCCCCTCTTATATTATAGGTGTAATATTTAGGACCAGCAGTTCCACCTGTTTCTTCTTCTAATTGCTCAAGAGATTGGATAGGGCCAACTTGGCAATCCAGGATAATTTCCCTATTGTGAAATATATAATCATAAGTATAAGCCCACTATCTTTTTGCTATGCAAAGTAACATAGTCACATTTCTGAGGATTCAGGCTTGCATATCTTTGGGGGACTGCTATGGTTTGTGTCTGGGTGTACCCCAAAGACACATGCAATCATGGGGTGGGCTTTTAGAGTTTTTGATTGATTGGTGGTCCAGTGTTGGAAATACGGATGTGGGTGCTACGCCTACCCTGAGGCGGGTAGTTTGCATAGAGTGGAAGGGAGGGAAAGAGGCTGCTTGCCACCGCTTCTCCCATTTGCTCTTGTTGCTTTTGCTATCTTCCACTGCCGTGAACTTTCGCCCTCTGCCATGTGCCACTCTGCCTTGGCGCCAGCTGAGTATGGACTGAAACCTCCACAAACTGTCAGCTAAGTAGATCTTTCCTTCCTTAATTTTGGGCATCAGGTATTTTGTCTCAGCATTGAGAGAAAAGTAGGTAAGACAGGGACATTATTCTGCCCACCACAGTTAGGTGTCTTTCATATTTATCCCTTCTAATTCTTACAGTATCCCAATAAGAGAAACGTGGCTGTTCATCCTTCCTGAGAAGAAACTGCAATTTTCCTGACAGCGAATCAGTGGTGGGGCTGGGGGTTCAGTCTTCACCACTCACACCCACTCCTCTGCTGCAGAGGGCAGAGTGGAAGCCAAGCCACCCTGTGATCTCTTGTTCTCACTGTGTTTCTCACTTGTTTCACTGCTGATGCTTCTTAGTTTAGCGAGGTTGTCCCTGTCCACCCGGCGTCGACAGCTCTCCACCTAGTTACACATGTGTGTCCTCTGGGTCCCAGCAGAAGGCAGACGGCATGCTCCAGCAACATACCAGAGGGGAGATTAATAAAATGACTATTGGTGAGGCTGGAGGAAACCAACAAGGAGTGGTGAAGCACCCTACCTGGAAACAGCTTTGCACCCTAGGTCTGCAAGTGTGTGGGGAAGAAGTAGTTACCAGAACCCTGGAAAAATGAGAAATTGCAGGAGGGGCTGCCTGGCAGCAGCTGGGGTCTTCAGTGTCACTGCCCTCATGAGAAAGGAAGAAGGCAAGGGAGAGACTCTGACTGCCCTCTCTACCCCTACCCAGCTCCCTCTATTGGCAAATTTCAACCAAAAGCCAAGGAGAAAGGGAGTCTGCTCCTGCGTCTCTTGAAGTTTAGTTTTGGAGGCCCAGAGCAGAGGATGGACAGATGGAGGGTGAGGTTGAGAAATACCACGCAGTCCCGCGAGGATCCCATGGAAACTGGGTGTGGCAATGGGATTTACTTTTGCCAGTGTGTTAGTTTCCTAGTGTTGCTGAAACCAAGAGTTTATTTTGTCACAGCTGTGGAGTCTGGAAGTCTGAAATCAAGGTGTCAACAGGACCTTCTCTGAAGGCTGGAGAAGAATCTTGGCTTCTTCCTGGCTTCTGCTGAGTCCTGGAAACCCTGGTGCTCTTCAATGTGAGCTCAGCCCTCCAGTCTCTGCCTTTGTCTGCACTTGGTCTTTTCTGTTACCATGTCTTGCTCTTTTCATGTAAGGACACCAATCACTGGATTTCGGGTCCAACCTAGATTTGGGTTGATATTGTCCTGAGACCCTTAACTAATTATACCCACAAAGACCCTATTTCTAAATAAAATCACATCAGGAGGTTCTAAGTGGACATGGATTTTTGAGGGATGCTATTCAACTAGCAAGAGTGCTGTGTGTTATTTCGGGACAAAAGCTTCAAAGCCAAGTGCGCAATTTATCACTCTTTCCCTCTATGGTAGCAGTCAGCAAGGCCCAGCACAAGCTCTTCCCACGGCCTGGATCCTGGGGTAAGGATGAAGCAGAAGAGAGGCCCAGCTGACTTGCAAAGGAAACATAACAAGAATCAAAAGAACTATGTCGCTGTCCTGGCAGATGCCACAGACTGTACATCCTCATGGTCCAGCCCCACAGAGATATTCCCAGTGGCCACAGCACCTCCTACTTTCTCCCTCAAACACACAAACACCCTTGAATTGGCCCAACTGTTCCTCTTAGTCCAAATCCAATAGTGTCTCCTTGGGGTCAAGGTATAGAAGGAATCAGATGTTTAAAGACTGCCTTTTGTATCCTTAGAGTTTTCCTGGGGAAAAAGTACATGGGGTTCTTTGAAATTAGCTGCGGAGTAGCCGTCTGCATTTCGGACCGAGTCTCATCT